TACTACACCTGTTAGTACGAGTATACTCGTTGTAGGCATTCAACGTGTTAAAATATACAGCTTTAAAGAAAAAAAGGTGCCTAGATGTCAGATTTTCAAAGGACAAGGGAAATTACCATCACGCCTTAACCATAAATTCAAGAGGGGAATAAACTAGAGCAACATCCCAGTAACAAAGCAGGATTTGAAATACCTAGTGGACTGTTGGAACGAGGCCAGTACTTAAGATGTTGACCTTGCAGCACCCACACCAGTACACGCCCAGCAGTCTTTTCTAGTGGTGGCTTTTCTAAACTATTTCTCCGTGTTGGTCTTTTAATGTGTCTTGGTCAACTAAATTTTGAGGTACTGGCCCTGTGGTTCAGCTTTCATCTCTTGTTTTTCATTTTTGTTTCCACAACATTTGACCCTTTCAAGGACAAAGCAGAAACTGAATATGATTTTCTCCTTGCATTTTTTATTGAAATGGTTTCACAGGGCACGAATGATCCAAGACAATGATCCATTTTAAAATCTTTTTCACAAGTAATTGCACGCGGGAGTGACTGTGGCCCAAGCCCAACTAGGCCTTGAATTTCACACAAAAAAAAACCAGACCACACAGATTGCTTTAGAAAACTGGTCCACCACATACCTGTACAACCCTTCACTTCCTACTAAGTGGCAGATCCTGGAATAGTCAGGATGCTTCACAGCAACCCCCCCCCAAAAACAGAAAAAAAACAGCCTAAGAAGGTTTAATAAGGTTGAGTCACTGAACTTGCTGCAGTAACCCTGAGTATTTCCAGCACCCCTTCTTTCTGACCTCCCTCTCCTTGAACCTGCACTCCTTCACTCAACAACTTACCACAGTGCTTTGCATCCTCGTCCTCCCCAAATAGGCAATCCTTCCGCAGATTGCACACATCATCTGGCCGCACGCACACCAAATTGCTGCAGTGGAAGTAACTAGACATGCAATCCTTGACTGGCAGAGCTGAGGGAAAAAAAGTGGGGGGGGGGAGGGAGGGAAAGAGAAGAGAGAGGAGAGAAGAAAGAAAATACGGACATTAATGGAGGAGGGGAGGTGACGGCAGTCGACAGCTGGGGACAAAGGTGTGAAGCTGTCAAAACTAACTAGTAGAGGAGAAACGAAAATTACAAAGCATTTTTTCAATCAAGGCAGACAGGGACATAGCTGGGGTAAAGGTGTCATACTTCATTTTCACTTCTATAATCCCTGCACAGCACGGTAACTTCATTAGCTTTTCCGCTCCCATGGGAGTGAGATCCACACTGCCATGAAATGCCCCCCCCTTCGTGTCCCTTCAAGTCGAAATCACCTCACCCAAGTGAGCTTGAGCATAGGATGACTTGAAACATCTGAAGCATTTAGGAGTGCATGAATCTATCAAAAGAGATAACGCATCCCCTCAGTACTAACCCACGACTGCGGCAAAACTAGGCAACAAAGACGGAGGCACAAGAAAACTTCAGGTAGTTGGGAAAATTGAGAATAAATTTTTAAGATCACTGAAATTTTCCATAGGTAATCCCAATGAGCCATTTTGGTATTTCAAAAGAGCAAAGTCATTTGGGAATAAAGCACACACCTGAGTCCGGGTAGAGCTGTGCTGATAAGGCAGACCTCTGAATGACCTCAGACACATTTCATTTTGAGTATGCACTGATGGAATACTGAACCGGTTCATTTCTAGGGATTTGGAGAGGTTACATGTTGTGACCCTTTGCCCATTTCAACCCAGGATTTCAGCTAAAAAGAACTTCAAATTTGTAACTGTCTCCTAATTTAAATCCATCAAACGAGGGAAAACGTATTGACAGCAGAATCCAGCAGACTTGGGTAAACAAGCTACACTGCCATGATCTTGGTCTGCACTGCTAGCAAATCCAAATAAACTTATTAATACTCAAATAACTAAGGTGAGTTATCACAAGTTAGCAGGAGTCACAGTCACAATAACTTATGCATTGAAAATGTGAAAAAAAATCCCCTATTCCTGCAATTATGCTATTTTTTGAGGGACCACTCGCCAATCAATACCCATCCAAATATTTTTGCACCGCATGATCCCTTGTGCATAATATTTGTAAGTAAAAACTACATTTAATTTGCTTTATTAGGCCAAACATTACCAACCACACAATAAGAAAACATTTTGATGATAAACCTCAATGCTAAATTCAGCTTCAATATTATCTAGTCACGTCCTAAATCAATTTGCCACAAGACCTCTGTGAAGTGACAATCAGTTACTCATGACTGGGTAAGCAGAACTAACGCCCTCAATTTAAAACACTTGCAGCTTGAGCATTTCTCCGAATTCTATTTTTCTTTCTGCTTTTTGCTACGTTGCTGCCTGTCTCTTTTCACGAAATGCCACAGCGCAAAGCCTGAACAAACAGTTCAGAGCCAAGATGCTTTCTGCGATACGGTCCTGGCGACACAGGAAAACCTGCCCTGAAGCTAAGCTAAACAGAGCTAAAAGGCTCAGACAACAGTGGGGGGGGGGAGGAGCATGTATGTCCATGTGTATTCATGTTAGGCAACACCATGACTCCTGTGCCTATGAGCTGAAACTTCAGAATTCCGGTCAAACAAGAGACATTCTGAGCATGCAAATGTTTATGAGACAAGTGTGTACATGTGTGGAATGAAGGAGCGCCCCATCGGCATTTGAAACATGATATTCTGAGAATGAGGAAACTCGTGCTTTCCAATATACTACTCAGTATTTTAAGCCACATTCGTTTCCCCTTTCACACATTGATTTCCAGAACTTTCCGCACTCCCCTTTAACACAAAGGAATCAATTTTTTCCCCACAGCAGCTTAATTCTTTGAATTCTTTTCAATGGGCAATGCACCTATGGTATTATGCTCATGCGCAGTGCACATTTGCAGACGTGCAGAATGAAACATACCTACTGTACCTTACGGCTTTTCACGCTTGAAAAATGACTGGAATGGTTTCCCAGCCATTCCTGTAAACAGAACACTAACAACTCACAGGAAACAGAGCCAATAAGCACAACTGAGGCAAAGTCTGCACAAAAAGCGCTGAGCTGCAGTAAGTTGTGCAATACAGTAGGGATCCATTATTAACAATTTCAAATTAAATCCATTTCTTTTCATCAGCATATCTGTAATTTATCAAATTTTCCCTGGAGAGGGACGCACATCCCTAACAATTCTTGACCTCCTGTATCCTACATTCAGCTTTGCTTCATGAAGAGTGAAGATTTCTCGTCAGCTTCTTTCCCACGCTAAAGTGGCCTCGCTCAAAACACAATCTCGGCAGAAATCTGGAATGACAGGCAGGGGGCTCGTTTGGATGGCACCAGGCTATTGATTTGTCATTTTTCTTACTCTCGGATTACTGATTATCTTTGAAACTGATCAATCTCCATCCTCTTTTGCCGCTCTAATCACAACGTTGCCACAAAATGGTCAGAGAAAGATTGAAGTGTTTTTGCCTAAGCCATTTCAAGTGGCCAACATCCTTTGTAGGTCAAATGTATATGTTTGGTGCAATGGCCTGCTTCAGTGTTTGAAACGCTGTGTGCAAGAGTTTAATATTGCCTTTTTCATGTTAAATGTTTGGTATTTTAAAAAAAAAAACCAAGGTCATTCAAAAACAAGGCACATGGTGTCATGCCAGGTTCAACACTTTTAGTATGTAAACCCCTATACAGCTGCCAGGATAAGGTCGGCCTGGCGTGCACATACTGATGCTCTCACATGACCTAAAACACACTTTATTTTGAGCATGTGTGGTCTAAACACCAAACTAGCTCCATGTCTACAAACACCTTGTCTGACACTTGCCCCTTTGCTTTTTGTTAGAAAACTCCACATCAAGTCCTGCTATGGTGATACACCACTGCCAACCCCTTTCCATTCCAAATAATTTTATAGATGAAAGCAAAAACCAAAACAAAACAAAACAAAGACTGACTGCCTTTTAAAAAGTTTTATATCAAAGGATTCAGGGCAAGCACAATCTTGAACCAAGTTCAATCAGTAACCACTTGTGGCTTTCTGATCAATTTTTAGTGGTAGCCTCGGAATAAAAAAATATATCCTGGATATCATTCCAAATGGAACAAAAACTAGGCCCCACTGAAAATGTTATCTGGGCACAGTTTGTCTGTGGCTATAAATACGATCACCATTCAATGATCCACCTGAGTTAAAAAAAAACCACAATTTCTCGTCCCGACTTCTGGAAATTGAAGGAGGTTTCTTTTTTTTTATTCATTTATTTATAATTTGACTTCGACAAAGTTATGCATCAACTCCATAACTACAAAAATATTAATGTTAAAGGATGTAAGCATGTGCATGTACATAATCCCACTCTCCTTAAGAGTCCTTGTACTCCTGTGAAACATGGCAAACCGTAAAAGTGCCAACAAATTTGCTACACGATAAGCAGAGATTCTTCCTTCACAGTAAGCACAGCCATAAAATTGGGCCTACATGTAGGTTACAAAATTGTTAAAGTTTCTCCTTTACCGACGAGGGGTCAACCACTCTGGAACATTTGAGGCATGTAATGGTAACCACAACAATGTGTTCATGGTTATTTTTCTCTCTCCTGTAATGACACCAATGTGTGTTTTGCAATACCTGCGTGTGTTTTGCAATACCGTCAAATCAACCACCGATGTGTGACTGTTAGAATGCGAGAATTCTCAGAGGCAGAATAGAGCCTGCGACAATGAAACATTCACTGATGTGTAACTTGCTCTCGTAATCGTTGCTAGATGTTGTGTGTTACTCCACAGAAAGTTATCTGTGACAGGTGGCGTTCAGGCCTACGCTATTAACAAGGAAGTCATTTGGCAAAGAGCAGTGATCTGAGTCATTCCAATCCAACCAACCCTGTAAAAAGTAGATTTTGAGCTCCGAAACCCTTTTAGTGGGCATATCAGATGCAATTTACAGATTTGGGTGTGAGCTTCGTCAGCATTAATGGACTACATAAAGAAATTGTAATGCTTGTCAAAAACCACCTGTTTTGCATGGTTGTTCGGGAACACTTTTAGAAAGTAATGTAGTATCAACATTAAGGTGGACATTACAAAGCAAACAACGCGCCATCTGTGCTAACCAACCTTGAAGTTTTCTATGGATTTCTTTGTTAAAAGATATTGCATATAATGTTTATAATGTTCACTTCAAGGTTTACAGCTAATGTTCAATTCAACATGAGGATACAAATTAGGTTAGTTAGTAGACAAACAACTGTATATATATATATACATGTACACACGGACACTGCCAGTAGGTGGTTTGCTCCAAAGGTTTCTTGGAGACAACCGTACAATTACAGGTTCCCAATGCATGGGTATGGAGGAAATTACAGGTTGGAAAATCTAATACTATCAATGAACTAAAGAAAAACTGTTTGTACATGTAGCATTTGTTTAAACTTGATCTGGCACTGGTTAAAAATAAAATAAATGTACAATCATATCCATGTACTTACAGTTATTTAATATACATGTACATGTACAAGTCAGTAGTCCCATGTTTTTAAACAAATGCATGTCTACAATTTTAAAGCTTCCTGATTAATGTAGGACTGTTCCTGAACTCTGGGGAAAGGGAAAATGTCACAGCTAATAAAACAATCATTTGCTTCTTCCCCTATGAGAAAAATACTTGCGCGTGCTGAGCAGAAAATTATGAAAATAGAAAGTTGTGGAACGGATTAAGAACAAAAACACTCTAAGATTGCACAACAAAGAAATTGGCCGCCACAACTCGAAAACTGTAATGCCTATCCAGTTTCTAGGTGCCAAACAATTTGTAAATATTGGGTTTGTGACGATAAATGATATGATATGCTAGAGCATGGGTGTGATGCCACATTCGCAATTGTAGAGATGTTGGTGGACTCTACTGAACTCACATCAAGGATTTACGATGTTCTCTGGCAACAGTCTACTGTAAAATCACATGCAATAA